CATTTAGATCTTGCTCAAGGTTATTACCAGATGGAGTTAGATCCTAACAGTCGACCCTACACCGCGTTTATAACTGATCGCGGACAATATCTGATGACTCGTCTCCCCATGGGACTAAAAATAAGTCCAAATGCATTTTCGCGTGCTATGACAATAGCAATGGCTGATTTAAATTATGAAAATTGTTTCATTTATTTAGATAATTTAATTGTTTTTGGAAATAATTTAAATAAACATAATCAAAATTTAGTAAAAGTGTTCAATAGATTACGCAAGGTAAAATTAAAATTAAATCCGAACAGTGTGAGTTCTTGAAAAAGGAAATTCTGTATTTAGGTCCATACCATTTCGGCTAGTGGAGTGGTACCCGATAATGAAAAAATAATTGCCATTCAAAAATATCAAATTCCGAAAAATTCCGTTAATGTAAAAAGATTTGTAGCTTTTGCTAATTATTACAGAAAATGTATTAAAAATTTTGCTCATATAACCATACCTTTAAATAAGTTAACAAGATAAAACGTACAGCACATCACAATGTCCACAATCTTTCAATTTGCTAAAAGAGTCTTTAAGTAAACCACCAATTTTGCAATTTCCTAATTTTTCTCCAGAAAATATTTTTTCTTTAAAAACCGATGCGTCGGGTTATGCAATTTGTGCAGTGTTATCAAATGGTGGTGATAAACCCATTGCATATGCCAGTAGATCTTTATATAAAGCCGAGCGTAACTATTGTACTATCGAAAAAGAACTTTTAGCCTTCGTTTGGGCAGTTAAATTTTTTCGTCCATACTTGTACTCACAAAAATTCGTTTTATATACAGATCATAAACCACTGGTGTATCTGTTTGGAATGACAACCCCATCCAGTAGACTTACCAAATTTCGTCTGGTTCTAGAAGAATATGATTTTACTATTAAATACATTACGAGTAAAGATAATGTTGCTGCAGATGCACTATCGAGAATAGAAATCTCTTCTGAAGAACTCAAAGAAATTAATGTGGATATGACTCAGACGATATATGCTATTACTAGAGCACAATCGACAAAATTTAATACCGATGTAGACACAAAAAACGTACCGCTCTCTCGGATTGATCACCCAGGAGTAGTGGAACTTATTAAACGGCCAAAAAATTCTTGTCTTTTACGAGTAATTAAATTTTACCCAAATTAATATATACATTTTTTGTGACTTGTTACAGTATGATCATGTCTCTTTTGCTTTTAAGAAACTTAAATGGATGAATATGAAGTCGCGTCGGTATGTTCACAAACCTTGTTTTTATTATAAGATTATTACGGAGTATTATTATTATCTATTCGACCGAATTAATTTTAGAACGGACGTACACAATGTGAATATCCGGTTCAGGGGTAGGTTAACTCCTCCCTCACATCGTTTGGAATTTTTTAAGAGATGCTTCTCATATCAAATTACATCTGTTTATAATAATCTTCCTATATATTTAGTGAGTCTACCCTTGAACCGATTTAAGAAACCTTTACGGGACTGGGTTTTTGGTGTGTGACTGTGGGCTTGTGCTTGGTGGCCTCGGGGGATGAGATTCTTATATGATATCATTTGGACACTCTATAGTGTAGTATGTGTAGTTAACTATTCTGCATGTTCGACATTAGCCTATGGCGGTGCTCGGTTGTCATTGAATTTTTTAGTTTATTATTGTTTTTGATTTGGGGAGTGGAAGAACAGGTGTTATCTGAACTCCTTATTTTACTTAGGCATGTACTTATCATTTTCCTTTTTATTTTTCTGTTCTGTGAACTTTTGTTCATACCTTTGTATATGTATAATTTTTTTTTAAAGTTTTCTTTGTACTTGATGAAGCCTGAATAAAGTTATTATTATTATTTGACCCTTTATTGTCAGATCACGTACGACGCGTTCAAACTAACGACAAAATGTCACATTATCTCGGAAAAATTATATAAAATGAAATTTTAAACTTACTGTGGAACAATATAAAAAAGAAAATGTTATTAATGTTAAAAGAAGCACGTTACTTTTTTATTATTCTTGATACTACACCTGATTCAAGCCACCAAGAACAGATGTCAATTGTAATAAGATTCATTCTTTTTCAAAACACATTTCAGGATTATGATATTCAAGAACATTTTTTAGGTTTTATTACGACAGAGACCACCGGAATTGGATTGTCTTCGTACATAAACTTCTTAAAGGAAAATAACATAAATTATAAACATATGCTTGTGCGAATATGAAGGGCAGACACAACGGACTTTAGAAAAAATATTGGATATAAATCCAAGAGCACTTCATGTACCTTGTACCGCGCATACTTTAAATTTAGTAGTTAATGATGCTGCAAATATATCAATACAAACAATGGATTTCTTCGGAATTGTACAAGAGGTGTACACCTTTTTTTCCTCCAGCACGAAACGATGAAAAGTCATGAACGATAAAATCAGTGGATTAACACTTAAACTATTATCAGATACACTCTGGGGAAGTCGAATTGAGGCGATAAACCTCTTACGATTTAATTTACCAGAAATTCTTACAGGAAATTGTAGATAGTAATGGAAATGTCCTTTGATTTAAAGACAAAGCATATTATGACATTGTCTCTTAAGAATAAAATGGAATGTTTCAAATTTATATGTGCAACATATTCTTTCAAATGTCAATATTGTAAGTAATGCTTCAAAATACTAAAATAAACTTGGTAAATTCAATTGAAAAATTAAAATCGTTGGAAAAGGTTCTTAAGAGTTTTAGAACCGATGATTATTTCGATAAATTGTGTAATTCTGCTTCTTTGGTCGCCGAAAGCATACAGCTAGATCCAAATTTTCTACCGGAACTCCGTAGGAGAAGGCGGAATCAGTCTACGAACGCGAAAAAGAAACCTTGCTGTCACCAAAGCATCATTTTAAAATATCTTTTTCTTGGCTGTACTTGATTAGACAATACAAGCAATTCATGAAAGATTTGAACAATTACAGAATTATACAGATACATTTTCTTCTTGCATAACGTTTCCACCTTAACTTAAGTATATGTCTGAAAAAGAGCTTTTCCAACATTGTAAAACCTTAGAAATTAAACTTACAGACTTAAGTAATGAAGAATGCCCGAGGGATATTACTGCCTCAGATTTGTGCCGTGATATAAGACTAATCAACAATTTTATTACTATCGAGCAAACACCCATAAAAGTTTTGAACTTCATTCATAAAAACAGTGTAACTTGCGAGTTTTCAAGTTTATCCGTAGTAATAAGAATTTTGCAAAAGTATTCCAGTTGCTGTTGCTATTGGGGAAAGGTCTTTCTCAAAACTGAAACCGATAAAGAATTATCTTAGGACAACAATATCACAAGAAAGATTAAGTCTTAAGGAAATTGTTGCGGAATTTGCAGCAGCCAAAGCAAGAAAAATATCTTTAATTGATTTGGTGTTTTTGTTTATATTTTGCATATTATAGAATATATTTTATTTTTGTGAAACTACGCCAAAACCTAACATTTTAATCCTGTACAATTCTTTATTCTTCACTACATAATATAAAATCTTTAATTTTGTATCGATTTTTAAGAGTCAGCGTCATCTAGCGGCTTGTCGTTTAAAATCGACAGCTTTCTTTATTATTTGTTACCTCCGCTTACTTTTCTCTTTTTGTTGGGACATCCCCTTTTTCCCAAAATATTTCTGTTCTTTCCGGATTTAACGTTTGTTATTTATTTATTATTTAATAGCTGTGATTGTCACAATGTAGAATTAACAGTAATATTGTAAATAATTATCAATCCATCTTTTTATTTAATCTCCCAATATTAACATTGAACATTTCAAACGACACACACTATTACAATTAAAAAGAAGTCTATCTGATTAAACAGACATAATAATTAACTATTATTATTTATTATTTTTAATTTTTTTATAGTAAATTAATTGTACGTCTAATTATTTAATAGCTCAATAGATGGCGCAAATCTAAATGTCAAAAAAATTATCAATCCAGCTCTTTATTTAATCTCCCAATATTAACATTGAACATTTCAAACGACACACATTATTGCAATTAAAAAAAAGTATACCTGATTAAACCGACTTACTAATTAACTATTATTATTTTTAATTTTTTTATTGTACATCTAATTACTTAACAGCTCAATAGATGGCGCAAATCTAAGTGACAAAACGTTCAAATGTCAAAAACTCCTTTACACTTTTAAACTTTTTTATTCTTTACCCTGTGTTTTATACATAATTTTAACGAGATAATTTTAGTAAGATAATAATGTTTAAGATATAAATTAACATTTGTAAGTATACAAACAGCATTAAAGCTTTTCTTAAAAATTTAATCTTTACCGCACTTTTTTTATGCAACTACGAAAAAGAAGAACGAGTTTGTGCTTCTTCCCTCGTAAATACGCAAATAGTTCCCTCTAAAATAAGTGTAAAGCGTGGGCTCTTCGACACGAAGTGAATTAATCAACCGATTTCTTGTTGAAACTTGCTCAAGAAAAGACAATAAACAATGTCTAAACACGCGAAAAAAGGTGTGAGTCCAAGTTTAGCGGACGCTTGGTTGGATGGATTAGGATTTTATCGAAAAAATGTTGCATATGATGAAACGTGTTTGTTCAGGGCAGTTTCCGAACAGGTAAATTTCTTAATTTTTAATGTAATAAGATCGTTATAACATTATTTTACGTTTCTAGTTATATTCGTGTCAAATTTACCATCAAAAGTGTCGCCAACAAGTTATTGATTACGTTAAAGAAAATTGGGAACAATTTGAGTTTATTTTACCTAAAAATAAATTATTTAAGCACCTCGATTTATTAGAAAAACATATGGTGGTTTGTGGAAACCTAGAAATTCAAATAATTAACAAAACTTTTAAGAGAAACATAATCATTTTTAAAGCAAACAGCCAAAGTATTGAAAAAATCGCTCATAATGAATTTAATGACACCTTACGGTTGTGTCTTATGGGTAACGATCATTATGATGCAGTCTATATTAAGGATTATATTCAAACAGCAGGATTTTGTCAATGTAATTAATACTTTTTTTAAGTTTACTTATTTTTTTTTAATGTTTATTAATTTAAAATTACAGCTATTGCTTATAGTTTACTTTATGAGAAAGTTTTTGATATGAAAGATGTCTCAGAAATTGTTAATACAATGTTAAACAGCAACACTTTCATTGCTAGCAACAGTAATAATAGTAATAACTCATTGAGGGATGATCATACTCGTAGAAAAAATTCAAATAGATATTATAAATCTAGCAAAAATAAAGATGTGATGATTGAAAGCGAATATAAACACATGTTGGAGACTAAAATTACTCCTTTTGCATTCAGAGTTGCAAAATCTTTAGATCCTAATATTTATAGAAATATTGAGTATGATACATGGATTGAAATGAGAAAAGGTGAATTAAAAAATTAATAATTAAGTACAGGGTGTGTCATGACAAGCTGAGTCTATACAGGGTGAGTTTACTAAACCGTTTGAAAAACAAAAATATTTTATACTAAAGTTGTTTTATTCACTTTCTATTACTTAAAATTATTTTCAGTTATACAGGATGTTCTATATAAGAGTATATAAGTTTGTTTAAATGGAACACTCTGTATATTTTATTGTATTATAAATACAACTAAATTTGTTTATACAACCATATATGTTACTATTTCACAGCGTTCATAGTTCCTGAGATATTCAACTGTTCTTCCAAAATGTGCCCATTACATCTTTTTAAAAACTGTAAAATCGACATTTTTTCCGATTTTTCCTTGAAACTACGTCAGGCTAATATTCAAAGAGATTAGATACACTATACAGGGATGTTTATAAAGCTTAATTACTTTTGATGTTTTTCTAATGGCTTTTTCTTAAGTTTTTTTAAATGGAACACCTGTATATTGTGTGCTAGTTGAAGTGCATATGAGTCATATGTCTAACTTTAATAGTTTTCCTGATATTTAGGATTTAAAGAAAAATGTGTAATAAAATGTCATTATTATACTTAAAAAAGTGACAGAATGTAATATTTTTTTTGTTTGTCTGTCATTTGTATTATTAAAATACAATTAAAAAAAAACTTTATTAAATAAATAATCAAAACGTGATAAAAATACAAAAAATACAATTAAATGGCAGAACAAAATAAATCCCTTTTTTAATTACTAAATTATTTTAAGGAAATGTAGCAACAAACTGTAAACAATTACTAAACGTTGCTCAACAAGTAGGTATTAATTTAATTAATATTTAGAAGTTGTTTAACCCTTTGTGTCCCAAGAAGTTAAAAATTTTGAAACTTTGTGACAGAATTAAAACGCTATCAAAATATACTCAGTAAAGGCCTTTGGAATCAATTTTAGCAAAATATGCAATCCCCCCATTCCAGGGGGATTATGGTACTTGAGAGTACCGTCAAGCATTAAAATATATTTTAGTGATGTTGCAATATACAAAAACTTTTATTACTAATATAAAAATAATACATTTTTTATTACGTTAGAAAATAAGTAACACTTGCTTTAGCTAGATCACATTATGGTATTCAGAAAAGAGTTCTTTTTTCATTACAACCTAAGTAAACATTAGCAGTACATTTTGAGTGGGGTCTAGCTTTACAGAACGACGAAAATCTGATAGAATATTGAGAAAAAACATATTGAGCCAAAGCTAACATTTTCGCATAATCTAAATGTCAAAAAAGATGCTAATTCAAAATTTTCTGGAAGCCGTGTTTATTGAAATTAAGAAATGAAACTTATTTTAAATTGAAGCTTAAAGCTTTCTGTTTAAATCGATATATAATAATCGTTGGGTTGGAAAAATATTGAAAAAAAAATGTGGAAACAAAACTTACATTTTTGTATAACCTAAAAGTGTGAAAAAAGCTGCTAATTTAAAAATTACTGAAAGCCGTATTTATTGAAATTAAGGAATGAGACTTGTTCTAAATTAAAGTTCAAAGCTTTCTTTTTAAAATGATCTATAATAATCGTTGGGTTGGATCGGAAAAATATTAAAAAAAAAAAATGTTGAAACAAAACTTACTTTTTCGTATAACCTAAAACTGTCAAAAAAGAAGCTAATTTCAAAATTCCTGGAAGCCGTATTTATTGAAATTAAGAAATGAGACTTGTTCTAAATTAAAGCTTGAAGCTTTTTCTTTAAAATGATGTATAATAATTATTGGGTTGGATTGGAAAAATATTGAGAAAAAAAATGTTGAAACAAAACTTACATTTTCGTATAACCGAAAAGTGTCAAAAAAGATGCTAATTTAAAAATTCCTGGAAGCCGTATTTATTGAAATTAAGGAATGAGACTTATTCTAAATTAAAGCTCAAAGCTTTCTCTTTAAAATGATGTATAATAATTATTGGGTTGGATTGGAAAAATATTGAGAAAAAAAATGTTGAAACAAAACTTACATTTTCGTATAACCGAAAAGTGTCAAAAAAATGCTAATTTAAAAATTCCTGGAAGCCGGAATGAGACTTGTTCTAAATTAAAGCTCAAAGCTTTCTCTTAGGTATGTAGCAGTTGGTAACACCATAACCCTTGAAAATAGAAATTTGAATTGACAATTAGAAACTGTCAAATCACAAAATGTATTCACAAAAATGTTTCATGTACACCTCCCAAAATAAGAGAAATTGATCAGAGTTCAATGTCCTCATCATTGTGGACCTTGTATTCGATGCTAAGAACGTGTTTAAACATCCATAGACAAAAATTGTCACATTGACAACTAGAAAAATTAATGACCCAATGTCACCAACTTGAACTGGTTCCATAAAATGTTACTAAAATCTCATTACAGCACCCGTTTGAGTAAGGAGTCTCAT